CTTTTTTTCTTTTAATGAATTTTACCCACCTTGGGACCAGCAGCAGCAGCCCTACAGTTATTTTGACTCTGAACATACAGCTAATACAGTCTGTGGCCCCTGCTGCACAGAAAACAGCTTGGGGCAGCAGCTACTTTTCATCAGGTTCATCTGCAGTCTGAGGAAGGAAGAGCTCCCTGTCATAACTATCTTCTATTTTTCTGCACAGCTTTGAGATTTCAGGCACATCTCAACCACTCTTCCACCAGCAGATTTAGGATCAGACACTGGTTTCAGTCTCCCCAAAATRACTCTTGTGTTCCTGACCTGGTTTCATGAAGTTCATGCAATGATCCTTATGCCAGTGTGACATTTTTTATCCGTTTGACCACCTGCAGATCACAGACTGTAACTTCAAGTTAAACTGAGCCATAGCTTTTAAAAATAAAGATCAAACCTGCAACTCTGACTTAAGATCGAGTCTGAGGGTGTTTCATGCTTGTTTAGTCTATTGTGTCTTGTTCCAACCAGTTGTTCTGACTTTTTGGGCTACACTGCGTGCTGGCTTAAGCCACAGCTTAGATTCCTTCAATGCTAATCCCCAGGAATAAAAGCCCCTAAAATAGGGTTTAACATGCAGCTGTGAGAAGGAGGATGTGGATGCACAAAGAGGAGAGAGGAAATGTTGCTGAACACAGAAGTCATAGTACAAGATTCAGGCTGGGTGTTTGAACAATTCAGCTGTGGCAGCACAGTCTGTCTCTGGGTTAGCAACGCCCTGAATCAGCCCCCATGAGGCTTCAGGTCCCTTTTAAAGCCAGGCTGCTGCCTGAATTATCTGGGGTATCAGTGCTGTGCTTCTGGGGTCTCATTTGACATTCAGCTGTAGGGGCTTCCAGACCATGCTCAGTCACACTGGCAGGTTTTGTGGGCATACAAGGCGTGAGTTTTAACAAAATGATTAAAAGTGATCATGAGGTAGGCTTGTGTGTGAGTGGGGATCAACCTTTAAGTCTTTGGAGCTTTGGAGGAAAGAGGATGAGGGTGCTTGATGGAGCTTATACCAAAGATTGAGTGGAGGTTGGTGTTGGGGACCAGCTAAGAATGGGATTAGGYCTTGTCACTCTAAATGAGAAACTAGAAGCCTTCAAGTACTGCAAAATTTTTGCTTGATAAGACAGAGGGGCCAGAAGAATAGAAAGAAAAGGGCAAAAAAAATTCAACATCAGTGCTCACACTAAGATCCTACTTGCATCTGTGGTTAGAAAGCTTCACCCTCCATGTACTGGGTCTTGCTACATTAACAAGACTTCTCAGTCAAGAGGTCCTCAAGCTTCAAATCGTTCATCCCAGGAAATGATCCCTGTGGTTCTGCTCTTCTGAACCATTCCCAAAGCATGCCCTACTAGAGCAGGGAATGACATTTTAATGACAGTTTCACCCATATTGTAGAAAGGGCTATTTTCTGTTCCTGGTTCCCAGATAGCCTGATCATTTTTTTAGGAAACAAGTCTCTCTCCCTCTGTCACTGAAATTCATGATCATCTCTTTGTCCATTTTGCTCCTAAAGTCTTTTGTACAGTAACTMATTTTCTATTTGCACTTTCCTTCTAGATGTTGCAGCTGTTCATGTGGCTTTACCAGAACACACTCTTTATGTTTATTTGAGGTTTACGGAGGACTCCTGTGCTTTGTCATTCACAAGAGTCCAGATGATTTATGAAAAAGCCCAGAYAAAGCCATATTATTGAYTAASAGATATAATCCTGCTTTCCYCTGATTTTAGGCCATAACCTCTCWGACTGARCAAGTTTTYTGTTTGATGAGGGCCAGCATAACCWACTGGGAGCTGCTTATCAGGGGTCCCWCTGCACATTCCCGTCAGAGCCTGTTACAGCCTCTTGCCTGCCAGCTCCAGCTCRGCAGAAGTACTTGCTTTTGATTACAGAGATCTCCAGTGTCAGCCAAGGAGGTGGATATCAAACCTGAGCACGTTGGGTGCTGCCAGCAACACTTCATAAATAATAGTAATGGAGTGTAATTGCTCATTAAGCCAGATCACAGCCTGGAGCCCTCCATCTGGCCAAACTCCCTCCCACATCAGCGGGAGCTTTGCCAGCAGGTGTGCAATAGGATTGGGGTCCCAATGAGGTTCTGTAGCACCACCAATGAGGGCTGGTTCAGATCCCCTTGAATCTGTTGTGTGCTTTTGGATTGATTTAGAAGACTTCAGCCAGCCCCCCCTTGCTTTGCACTGCTCAGCCAGTACGGCTACATCTGCGCAGCAGTTATCCCAGATGGAACACGGAGGAGGAGAATTCCTGACACYGAGCTGTGGGATTTTAATTTTAGAGAGGCGATGGAAACTCTTTCCTGTTGGGTCTTAGGTGGTGGTTTGTATGGGCGTGATTTGARGCTTGAAAATGTCTCAGAAGCCTGCAACTGAAAAACCCCAACATGTAATTGATATTGAAAAGTGTTGTGCCCCTGGTGTAAGTGCTATAAAAGCCAAACAAGCTGGTGTGCCTGACTATCAATCACCTATTGCCGTTTGACATTGGTGCAACCCTTTGCAAGTGAAAATAATTTACTGCCTCCCCCCACGAAAATTATTTACCATCCCCATTTTGGTTTGAACATTTACTGTTGTGGTTCAAAGCTGTGATGAATTGGTTAGCTATAAATTGTCTTTCCTCTCCCCTTCCCCTCCCACCTCTTCCTACTGTAACACTGGGAAGAAGGTTAAGGCACAGGGTGTTATCTGAAGCAAGTGCTCCATTCTCAGCGCCCCATACATCCTCGCTAATGCTTATAGCTCCCCTGTGGCATTGGCAAGTGTAATCGCTATTGCACTGAGGTAGAACAGGAGCTGGAGAGAGATAAATGGCCTAGTTATCAAAACTTCCTAGCCTCCCACAGCCCTCCTTGGGAATACAGCTATAAATGACATTCAAATGATGCTGATAGATGTTAGCTGAGCAGGCAGCAGAACGTGTGCGGTCCCGGTGCTGCGCCCGAGCCAGCCCTTTCTGCTGATAATGTCAGGAGATCTCAGCATCCCAACACTGGCTGCTGACACTGGAGGCATGTGCAGAGATACCACTCTGCTCTCATCTGCTTGCAGACAAATCCCTGGGGGTTGCAAAGGTTCCAAATCGGATGGTGACTGAGACACATTAATGCTGGAGCTTGCAGAGCTGAAGGAAGAAGTGTTTTTTCATCTTTGGCACAGAATCTGCTCAATTTAGATGCTCAGAGGGTGAAATACGGCAGGGAAAACAGCCTCTCTTCCACCCAGCTATGAATGAAGAAGTGCCATTTTTGAGTGACCTGGAATAGTCTGGTCCAAAGTACTATGGCCTGTGGTGGGTCCAAAAATCCCCTCCAGCAGCTCCCTTTGCATCTGTTGTCCTTCCTGGTGTGTGAAACACGGGAAAGACTGCTCAGATCTTAAATCCCTTGGGAACGGAACAGGAGCAGATAAGAGTAGGTGGCAAATCTGCTTCTCTTATGAGTCTGGAAAGGCTCTTGGGTGTTCTGGCATCTCTTCAGGAGATACCAGGAAAACTCCCCCATCTGGAGGAGGAGAACCTCCCATGAAAACAACCAGCAATCTGTAAGGTTTTGTATTTTATTTTATTTTATTTTATTTTATTTTATTTTATTTTATTTTATTTTATTTTATTTTATTTATTATTTTTAATATTTAATTTTAAATTTATTTCATAATGTATTTCTTTTTTTTTGCACTTTATTTTGTTTCCAGACCCTTTCTATCCTCCAAAGGTGTAGCTATGCGAACGCTCAGCCCTGAAGGCAGGTTTTTACTCAAGAGCAGCGCTCAGAGATGTTTCTCGTGCGTTGTGGCAGAAATCCGAGGGCACCAAAAGGGGCACAAAAAAGCTTGTCTCTTCCCTCCTTTAATACAGCCAAGAAGCTGAAAGGAAAAGGGTCCAGGGCTGATGATCACATCCCGTCAGGTTTTAGGTCCGCAGATTGGACCAGGGTGCGGGTTCACATGGCAAAGCGGACAGAGGGGGGTTCTTGGGTCGCACGGGTCGGGGCGAACCCCTCGGGTCTGCAGCTGGGCTGGGGAGCGGCGCCGCTCCCCGCAGGACCCACCCGGGAGGGGACAGAAGCGGCATCTCCCGCGAGAACCCCGCACAAAAAGGGGTTTTTTTGCACATCCGCGGTGTGGGGAACCCTGGCCGTGCTGCCCCCAGCCCCGCTCCGCGGGCGGAGGCTCCGGCTCGGCTCGGAGCGATCCGCAGCGGCAGCCAGCGCCTCCAGCCGCCCATCCGCCGCCTCTCCCGGCATCCTTCATCCCCATCCTCCGCTCCTTCCTGCTTCGGCGGTGGAAGCAGCCCCCCGCCGGGGGCCGGGGATGCCCTCCCCTCCTCTCCCTCCCCTCCAGCCGCAACGGGGGAGGGGGGCTGTGATGCTGCAGGGGGATCCCCGGGAGTCGAGCGGGGTCTCCCCTTCCGCCGGCTGCCGGGATCTCCCCGCTCAGCGCCGGCGGCCCCAGCGGCGGCTGCTGGGGGGTGGCAATCGGGGGGCGGGGGGCGAACGGGGGCAGTTGCCGTGGCGGGGGACCGGGGCCGGTGTCCCCCACACCGCCGATGACTCGACAGCCGGGGCTGGGGGAGCGGGGGGCGGGCGCCCGGCTATTTGCTGGCTGCATACAATGGGCCACTCCCTAACGTGAGGGCTGGGGGGAGGCAGGAGCTGGGAGGAGGAGGAGGAGGAAGAAGGGGGGGAGGAAGGGGCTCGGGCATCGGGCTGGTAAATAAACTCCGCGATGATTCCCCTCCCTCTCGCCGGCCCAGGTGCGCGCCGCGCTCCCGCCCGCCCGCTGCCCGCCGGCGGGGGTGACCTGACGGGGATGTGACCGCCTCCCCTGCCCGCCGCTTCGCACCCCTCCCTCCATATATCTATATATATATACAGACATACACAGATGAATATATATATATAAATATATAGAGAAGTCATTTTGGGGGGAGGGGCGGGGAGCTCGGATCATGGCCCTGGGGCTCCCGGGGCTGCCGCCGCCGATCTGTAGCTCGCCTCCGGGGCCCGCCGGCGACCATGGGGCTGAAGGCGCGGCGCGGCGCTGCGGGCGGT